TCCATGTCCTTGGCATTTCCAACATTTCTTCTATCATTTCCCCAGTTTGAGCCAGCCACGATTCTCAGATCTTTTTCCTCCTTTTGAGTATCTTGCGTTTGTGTTAATGTCTCCTGCATCAATTTGCTTTCTCTTTTACTGTCACTCGTAACAATTTCTGATATATCAAGGTCATTCATCTTTGGTAAATCTTTATCTTGTTTTCTCTTTGGTTTGGGGGTGGATGATAATTTGTGTACTTTATGACTAGGTTGTGTGAAGCATTGTGTTTTCAGAATGCCAAGAATCCACAGTAAGAAAGATGAAATGCTTGAAAAACTGTAACTCAACAACAAAGCATAGAGAATGGAATGAAGTCTTTTACCCATATTCTTCTTATTTCCTTTCCAAAAAACTGTTGCTATAATATCTGTCTTCCATTCTTCAATAGCACTGCAGATTATCCCATTCAAGTATAACTTATGGCCACCAGAATAACCACTCCTTTTAGAGTGGAAACTGTTGCTGTACTTAGCTAAACTACTCTGCACTATGCTCAAAATGAGAACTGCCTTCCGATAGATCTTCTCGTTGTACTTTTGTTCCTGTATTCTAATATACAATTTTCTTGCACTCATATGCATGCAAAGCCAAAGGTTTCTCATTCTAAATATGACTGACGAGGAACCTCTACCTGAACTCTTTTCATCAGCACAGGCTGTGATTGCTTTCAAGTTTGTCACTTCCACATCTGCTGCTGGCTCTAAAACACCATAGAGAGGGTCTTTGGTATAAGCTAAAATGGGTTTAAATGCATATGCCTGAGACAGTGTGTCCTCAACAGACAACAGGGTCTGTGACAATATGAGAAGAGTGTCTACCATGCTGCCTTCCCCAGCATGCTTTTCACACCTGAGTAACGTATGCAAGATGTGATGTGTCAACCACAAAGATGGCTTCAGCATGTGGAGAGAGCTCGGCCACAGTTCAAGCACCTACAAAAGAGACAAACTCTTACATATTTATGAATACATATATACTTATGTCCTAAATATATCTATATATATATATATATATATATATATATATATATATATATATATATATATAATATATATATATATATATATATGTATATATATATATATATATATATATGTATATATATATATATATATATATATATATATATATATATATGTATATAGTATATATTTTTTTTTTTTTAAAAAGAACCAATGAAGCTTACCCTGATAAAGCTATGAAACAACTGCAACATCTGAAGAATCTGTGCCTGGTGTTCGCTCTGATCATCGTTGGCTGAAGCCTGCATCAAATTCCTGACTAGTTTAACCACGAGGCCAGCAACATTCCTAGCTCTTTTTTGCCATTCTTGCAACTGGGGCTTTCTATGAGTCAGTGTGATAGTCCAGGCAGCAAGCAGAGGATCCACAACGCTTCTGATCTGCAGTGTCAAGAAATTATCATTGCATTTTGTTGCCTCTTTCTCTCTTGTCATAATAAATGGCATGAACAAAATTGTAATTATCCCTATGTTAGTTCACTGGTGTACCAAAGGGTCTGTTGTGACACATGCTGGTGTATCTGAGGCTAAACCATAAACATCATTAATCTTTTAATCAGCAGGGAAGCATTGCAACCCACACACAGAAAATGGTACATCATGCTAAACAAGGCAATAATATTTTTGCTAAAGGTGCTGGGCCAATGCTGTTAGCTGGGGGCCAATATCTCTATCACAAGGAAGAAATTGTGTGGTAGAAGGTACAGAAATTTGTCTAGATAACAACAATATCGTGCCCTTGTTTTGTTACAGTTAAACTGAAAAAGAGATTCATTAGCCATACCAATTGCTCTCCTTCTGTGTAGGACACTGTCTCTTGCATTTCTCCTTCTCTAAATGGCAGATTCTCAGCTTCCCATAATTTTACCTGCAGATAAGCAAGAAAATACATATTCTATAGCAAGAAAAGCAAAAGGATGCATTTTCTTGAGTTGCAATTCCAACTAATATTTAACATAACTTTTGTAAATAAAATAATTACTAAAACCCATACCTCAGTCATTTATTTTTTATCAAAAATGAAGACATAGCAACATCAAGTAAATATATATTATATCTCATTGGAAAATTGGTAATTTTATATAAGGTGTAGCCCTCTTAATTGTTGTACAACCAAAGGATTCTCTTGTTAAAATTAGTGAATATTACTATAGAATAAAAATGCCATGTAGTTAAAAAAAAAAAGATCATCTCAGTAACTTATAAATCATAAACTTAGAATAATAATGCTTTACCTCATATTTGCTAGGATTTGCCAGTTCAGACTCATTTTGAGTTAAGTCAGCTACAGATCTTGCCAGTCTCCAAGTGCTGCAGTGAATGTAGGCATAATCATGCGTGAGAGCTGAATTGCCGAGTATGTAAAGGGCATGGTTGGCAGACACCAACAGCTTATCTACAACATCTGCATCTCTGAAATAAAAAGTAAAATCTATA